GTCTGAGATAACATTACTAGAAACTGGTCCTTTCAAGAGTGAAGGGAAATATAAAAGACGCCCAATTTAATGACGATGCACCAATGTTATAATGTGTGACCAGGGCGAACTACACGCAACCCGAGGTGCCGCCCACACACCTCACCTTCCGGGAGTCACCTGAGTGTCCCCGCGGGCAACAAAAGGTGTCTATCATTATTGGCTCTCCCTCCCCACGGTGCCTCTGATCTTACCCGTCTCTCTCTCCCCTGTCCTCCCGCCAGCGTCCACTACTGCCCCTTATAGTCAAGTTTTATCTCCAGTACAGTAATTTGCTGTTCCAACTCCTGAACAAAACCTGTCAACTATATATTATGATCGAACTATAATTACTCTCCGTCGTCTTCTTTATCATTATGAGCATTTCTTTCATGTGCAGTTTAATTAACAGATCATACAATATCCTGAAATCTTGGCTGTATACCTGTAGAACGATTTAACAATACCCATTACGGTCTCTAACCCTAGCACCTATGAATGGGTCATAGCAGGTCACAGAATACCTTACTGACATTGCATACAAGAATAAATAATACAATTTCTACATTATGAGGAGTTTCATTTCTATGTTAAATTTAGACTACAGGAACCTCACACTTCTACACACCAGATAATTAAAGGGACGCTAGATCATTAACGGTGACAATATTCTGTAGTTTATTGAGTGACCACTGAACATATTTAAGGAGAAACAAAGCGAACCGAGATAAACTTATTTTCTAACATTAACTTAAAGCGGCTCACACTGGCTATATTATTATATGCTGTACAGTATACTAATTCTTCGGTACACTGATTAATTTTGGAAGATGGCATGAATTAACCTAACCTACCTTTATTAAAAATCATGATAAGTTTAATCTAGGCATTTTGTTAATTTCCCCGTGATCCCCCGTCCTTCTAAATAAGACATCAGGTAAATATCTGATTAATGTCGACATCACATGTCTAACAACACTGACCTTGTGACCACCAAAACTCAGCTTCAGGTTGACCCGTCTACAATTGTATGACGAGTTGAGTTGTCATGTATGTGGTAACAGCACTACCACGCCTATGAGTGCCAATAATGCCTACCCACAAACTGACGTCATGGATGGCAACAATACCACTTAGCCAAACACTGGTCATGGGAGGAAAAATGGCACTATATCCCTGTGCTATCAATCAGTGTAATCATACAACAACAGCTGATATCTATATTTTTCAGTCGTTTGTTTTTCATAGTAGTTTATTTCTACGGAGTAAGAACACAATGTGTGACGTCATATGTATATTTACTACCTAGGTTGTGACGTCACGCACGTGTTTTTTCTTCTTCTGTGGGACAATAGACTCACTCGATGAAATTCACCAGTTCATCAACTTTTTAAATACGAATCGAGTTTTTATTTTTATAGGGCACTTAAAACAATATTTTAAACTTTTGTATTCCTGTATGTACCGCGAGACGCAAACCGGTTAAAAAAAATTATGCAATAATTGGCAGGCCCGAAAATAATACTAATATTCTCGTACACATAATATTGCAAAATTACTGCACCACATATAAAATATAATTGTATAAATAATGTGATATACTGTATTTCTTGTTTAAACCTCAACCCAGCGTATAATATAAATATCCTGTGTGTGTATTAATTGTAAGTCAGTGTGCGAATAGGCTGTGGAGGGAGGGGGGGGTGACAGATAAATACAACGGTTCCAAAACTTTACGACGAAATGTATATATTGTCATTAGTCGGTAATTAGAAATACGCCAGTACAATGACAAAACTGTTCAACAAGGAGAGGAAAAACTAATAATATGGTCTAATAAACCAAAATAATAACTATTAATACTGATAATTAATCCTCTAAAGTAAGCACGAACAAGTAGATTCAATAACACATATAAATAATAATCTTCAATTAAATCATAAATTAATCCACCGATAACACACAAACACAACCTAACCTCAAGCGGGACTAATTTAAGTTTCTTAATTAATAAGCTAATGAAACACACGAATATAACTGAACAGATCACTGCATTAGGCTATTTAGGAATGTAAATGTGAAAATACTGTACTTACAACTGATGGGAGAGTGGAGATAAGCTTAAGATATCCTTTCCATAACACTTGCACACATGTCCACGAACAAAATATTCCCTGCGCCAACACCCTCAAGCTTTGAACTCAAGCTTTGAACTGTAAACAAGGTCAAACGTAATATTGGAACCTCGTTATATGAAACTTATGTATTTCATTCAAAGCTACACTTATTACTTAATAATATATGATATTTTGTTAACAGACACTCCCCCACGTAAATTACACTTCTGTTAAATAGGAGTAACTTACCGAACGTTATCGTGACGGCCACCCACTGAACATTATGCTTTGTTATTTCGCATAACAGTTCAGCGTCGTGTTGCCAGGGGAGGGTGGGGTACCGGCAGTGCTTGGGTGAAGAACAATTAACATTTTAGAGTTAAATTAAGCAATTTTTGGGGTTTTCAGATAATTTAGCATTAAATCAAGTATTTCGAGTTATTTTAGCACCTTTTTGGCATAATCGTAAGGCAATTGGTATTATTTTTTTGTATTTTCTTGATTCGATTCCACTGTCATAGCCTGCATTGCGAGTGGTAGGATGTTGGTGGGTGTTGGGGTGGGGCTGGGTAGAGAATGAGCGGTGTGGGTAGTTGTACAGTACAATACCCTTCTTTTTTTTTTAAGGGCATTAGCCCATCCGGGCACAGGTCATGTTTAATGGCCCACATCAAAGCCTGGGGGGCGAAAATCTAATATATTATTATAATAATAATAATAATAATAATAATAATAATAATAATAATAATAATAATAATAATAATAATAATAATAATAATAATAATAATAATAATAATAATAATAATAATTTAAAGGACCATAAATAAAAACAAAAATTAAAAAAAAATATCAATAGTGAGAAACAATATACGTATGTTGTGTTGTCAAAGTAAGAGAAACTATTGAGACCCTGCAATTTTGTGTGTAAATGAGGCAGAAAGTCAGGTCAGCAACCTGGGACTTGGTCACAATTTATGTGATGCCATATGGCAGCAGGGTCTACCATTAGACAACACATTATGCTTCCAATATCTTCCCAGGTGGTAGTACCTCCCTGTTTAATAGCTCCCCATTAATTAAATACTTTTTATTGAAAGCCTCCGAGGTGATAAAATAAAGAAAAATAACTGGAGAATTCATTAAATACAATACGAATTAAAATAAATGATTCCACGTGTAAAATACTGCACTTTTTCAACAAATCTAGACTTTTTTGGTGTGTGAAATTAGCACTTCTCCGAGTGAAAAATCTGGTCACCCTGGTGAAGATGTACATTCCTTTACACTCAATTCGCCAGCCATGCACACGAGACCTTGAGGATGGGGCGTCCATCCTGAGGCAATTGCTAAATAAATCTATTGTTATCTTCAGTGACTAGCTAATCTGCACTTGTGTGACTGAGTGTAATTTTGGTTTGGCACGCGAGGCCAAGGACTGTCCCAGGGATCAAGTGTTGCTGGGTTGAGAATGTTTGTAAGGTAATGAGATGTTTGTGATAGACCGAACGTTTGGTGACTCCGCAAGGTGGAGGTCTGGCCCGAAGACTGAACAAATAATGGTGTACCAGACTGATAATTAGCCTATTTGAAGTTTGTAGGGTAATCCACTTTAAAGACAACTGTGTGAGAGCTGAGGGTGTGCCAAGATTAAGCTGCTTAGTGTTGTAAGACCAAGAACTAAACATAGAACTAATTAAATATAATGACGTCAAATGTTAAATCTAAAGAACTTCATATTCAGAGAAAATTACTGGTTCAAAATCATAAGGGTGAAAGTTGTGAGGCAAAAGACCGTGTAAGACCATAAGAAAATAAAGAGTCTGCAATAGGCGGGTTGGCCTGTGCATGGCAGCTTGTCTAGAGTTACTACCACTCTCTATCATCCATGAATCTATCAAGCCTCCTTTTAAAACTTTCCAGCGTTCCCGCACTTACTACAGAGTTGCTAAACTTGTTCCACTCGTCCACCACCCTATTTATGAACCAGTTCCTTCCTATCTCCCTCCTAAACTTAAACTTATCCAACTTAAATCCGTTGCTACGAGTCCTATCCTGCTCGGATATTATAAGAACTTTATCTATATCTCCTTTATTGATTCCTTTCACCCACTTAAATACTTCTATCATATCTCCCGGCACTCTTCGTCTTTCTATGGAATGCACGTTTAGTTTCTTTAATCTATCTTGATATGGAAGGTTTCTAAGTCCCTGAATCATTTTCGTCATTCTTCGCTGCACCGACTCCAGGAAACTGCAGCGGACCTATTGTCCATTCTAGGCATCCCCGTTTACATCCAACCCCTACCACTCATAATCTGTCCAAGGTCAAGGATTATATCCTTTTAGGGGTAAGATAACGTTAAAGTCTTTTTAAGGTCAAGGGTTGTTGAGGTTAGAAACAAAGTAATGTTGAAGTTTGTACACTATAAAGACTAAACAAGAATTACGAAAAAAAACTCGAAAGATAATATGTAGTTTTGGATTCAATATGGTCAATGACTGTCAAGTTATGGTTAGGGAAAATTACCTTGTTAGAGACTACATAGGTCAAGAACTGTAACCAATGGTTGGGTCCTTGAGATGAAACACACTTAAGTGATCAAGTGTGAGGATGGTCGGTATTGCACCACTGTCTGTAACAACAGCAGGCCGAGACAAGCTGGCCAGGAGGGAATGCCAGTAACACATCCACCACTCTTTTCTAGGAAGCACACGGATTCTTGAACTGACGAGGCGGATTGACTCTTTACGGCACTCGTAATGTGCCTATTATCTCTTCTCCTAAAACGGCCATAAAATTACAAAAAAAACACTATATTTCCTCTCATATCTGAGTTTCCCACATTAACGATAAATTATATATACCTGTACTGTATTGAGGCGAGGTCCATTATCAAAGTCCCTCCAAGGCCACGGAGCGAGGTTGGTGGAGTCTGGCCGGGCCGGGGGCGACGGGGTTGACTGGGTCCCAGTTGTGGAGCTGCCCGTCAGTGTCGCGTCTCCACTATGAGCGTCGAAACGCCCCTCGCTCTGCTCCTGCTGGCTCACACCGCCGTCCTCGTGACGGGAGAGGTAATACCAGCAGAGTTCCCTGCCCACAACTATGAAGAATCTCAGTCACAGAGTCATGACACGGCTTACATCATAGGAGAAGCTGTTGCCAGTGAATTTAATCGTTATGTTCCAGCCCTGAGTGACAACTTACGGGTGGAGTTGAACACTATGAGAAATGACCTCAGTCGTCATTTTGACTCGCTTAAGCATTACATGAACAATAAACTGGACAGAATGCAGAGAGATGCTCCAAGCAGCGGCAACAATGCACAGGAGGAAGAGGATAGTCTAGGGGAGGTGAGCGAAGGGCACACCAGCCCTTTGAGCCGCTCTAGTGGCGCCACCATCCGTCACAACCTGGCTATGGCAGAGCTGCGACGTCTAGGGGCTGACCTTACCAGAGCCCTGGACGAACAAGTGGGTAAATTGAGGGAGGAGTTGCACACTTCACTCGATCATCTTCGGCAACAAGTCCAGAACTCTACGGAGAGCCTAACGGACCGCCTTCAGGAAGAATTTAGCTCCAAGACAGATGAGAGCACCACTATGCTGAAGAAGGTGTTCTTCCTCACCCGCAACCAGATGGAACTGATCCAGTCTCAGTTAGGAAACATCACCAGCGCCCTACACAGCGAAAACCACAAGGAACCTGAACCCAGCATCAACGTGCAGACCACACTCCCTCCTACCACAGAGACACCCAGACCAACCACACCTACTACTACACCTACTACCACTCCTTCAACCACAACCGAGGTAAGTAATATAGACTGAACAAAATTCTTTCAAATTTTGATAATTTGAACTAAACAGCAACTTACCCCATAAAACATTCCAAACTGATAAATTTAACTTAAAATTAAAAGGCTTTGCTATTGGATTCCTGAGTGAAACTACTTTAAGGTTCGAATCCCAAATTCAGCTTCTCTGCGGTAGGGTTTAAAGGGATACTTCATATAAATTTTCACTCTAATCTATTGAAATTCACAAAAATGGCATCCAAAGCGATATTTTGTCAATTATCTTAGTTACAGAAATACTAAATTATGTTTAAAGGCTGATGTTAGGACTTATGCAAAGAATATCAATACTGATCAAAATACAGTACAGTGCCTCTCAAGAAACACACACTTTCCAAATTTGTTTCCGCCAATTTACGAAAATTGTCACAGGTTATTGTAAACATCTAAACATTACATTATTAAGGTGGCTGAAAAAAAAATGTCCCGGGTATCAACTCTGTCCCTTTAAATGCTAAAATCCCATCAAATATCTGGATCTATGTAAAAGCTATGTTCTGCTTGAACTATCTCCACTAACTCTTTTACTACGGGGGCGCCACATTTAATTCCATTTGCTTAATGTCAAACGATTTTATTCAGCTCAGAGGTGACCCCGTACACAAGGAGTTAAGGTTTTGATCTTTGACCTTCAGCTCCGACCTCAACCTACTGGTGTTCTGCCCTTTGACTAGTTCAGTTAAACATTCATGCGACAAATCGAACGGGCCAGACCTGACCAATACTTCCAACTTCATCAATACGCCGGAAATAGCGAGAACAGGTCACAGCTCAGAGGTAAAATAAAACCTTAATCTTTGAAAAAAATTAAATAACATGACAATTAATGCAGATGGATTTAGATGTTTCGAGTGCCGAGAGAAAAAATAAACTAGATTTCACTAAGATAAAACTACCCAGTTTTATAATGTTTACATCTAGCGCTTTTATGAATACATTATCTTTAACAGCAGATGAACAGACCATAGTAAAACTGCACACGTTGCGGTTGTTAGTCAGGAAAAAAATTTATAAATTAGGTTTAAGATCACAAAATGCTTTAGTCTGAGAAAGCATCTTAAATACTAGTATATTAATTGCACGCTAAAGCCACTGGTGAGTTGCGTTGAAATACAGTGATTATTATACAAATGCTATTACGGTTATCTATAGTTATTATTACTATTATTACCGATTGTTTGTGTTGTACTACTATACTGTAGGATGCGGTCTACCGAGCTGTAGTGTAAATATCCCGGTAGACCAACTCCACCTCAGTAGGCCGCATGCTATAGTAGCACCGTTTTTATCACGTATATTATTGTTAGTAATATCATTAATACTATGAATAATTTTGTTATTGTTATCATCACTCACAGGCGGAGGTGCTGCCCCGTGACTGTAGGGAGGCTCAGCTGGCAGGATCTACGAAGTCTGGTGTCACCAAGATTCGTCCATCACTTGAAATGGAACCCCAGGTCACTATCACCTTGCCTAACCTTCTTACTCTCATAGTAACTCCCGCCTTCCCTCCTCGTTCACTCTCACTGTTCCTCCTGCTCTCTTCACTATCCCTCTCTCTCTCCATTCTCTCGGCCGTTACTCTCCCATTCTCACTGTACCTCTCCTGCTGTCCTTCTATTTTTTCTTTTATTTTTATTTTATTAAATTGGGGGATTTCGCTAATATTTCACCCTTCCCATGACGATTATTAATTAGCGAACTAACAATAGGTACATTTTGTGTGGAGTATTTCCAGTGACGGAGGTGTGGATGCTGGAGTTTATCTGTCTGATAGCTCTGACTGGTGGCTTTATAGGGAAGGGTGAGGTATACTGTATAAAGTGGTGGTGGAATGTGTTGACAGGTGTAGACTGTAGCTAACCTGAGTCATCCAGGAGTGAAGCATGAGTGTGCAATAATGAACTGTTTGACTAGTACAAACACTATGCCAAGGTGTGTCACAAGCTCTGCTACATCTGACGAAAACGATGTTCATAATGTGAGAGGAAAGAAAGGAGATGAGGCAGACTGAGGACACTAAGTTGAAAGGGAGGAAAAAAGAGCGGTGGAGGATGCGAGTATACTGTGGAGTATTGTGTAGGAAGGACTGCACGACACTTTACACGTGGACATTAATCTAAAAAAGTATTTAAAAATAACATCACAGAGTTAGTCAGGAAAAACTGCAATGAACGAGTATATTAAGAGTGAGGATGACTATGACATTTTGCGATATCCAAAACCATGAAAATAATAAATTACGTAGTATATACTATATATACTGACACGATAAATTTAGAACAAAAATAAACCTTCCTGTTTCCGCCATGGTAAAATTTTCATGCGCTGTAATTTTTGCAGAGGGTATGGTGTGACCAGGAAGTGGACGGTGGGGGCTGGACGGTGATGTTACGAAGGCAGCGTCAACCCACACAGCTCGATTTCAGACGCGAATGGGGAACCTACGCTAAGGGCTTCGGCAACCCTGACAAAGAATACTGGATTGGTAAGTGGCACCTTTACTCACTGCTGTGCACCAATTCAAAATATAAATCACCCAAATTAGAACTTATAACGCGTCTTCTGCTATTAGGTAATCATTAATATCTCAAGTATGACACAGGGCAGTCATGCCTATGGGACCCTCTTTCACTTTTCATGATACAGGGTTGGAGACGCTTTATCGACTGACGAAGGGCAACCCGTACAACCTGCGTGTAGACATGACCTGGGAGGACGAGGAAGCCACATCCCTTTATGACTTCTTCAGGTGAGTTTTGAACATTGTAACAGCTATTAACCTAAACTTTATCGCTCAGAAATTTTCAGTATACAGTATTTAAATGGTTTAGTCAGATTGTTGGGAATTTAAGGTGTAACTAATGTACTCGACACGAGAACCATATTGACGAAGGAAATGTGAAACAAGTGATTCAGTCTATTCCTAATGTTTAAAAAAAAATTGAATTACTTAAAAAATCATACAGCACTGATACAGTATTTCCAGTGTTTATTCACGGCCTCGCACTGTACACGCCGACATATTGAACAGCAGTACTGTATTTATTTGCTAGGATATAACCGTATCGAGAGAATTAAAAGCCTTCACGAGTCTACTGTCTGTCTCTTAACAACCATTCTTCTCAACATGTACAGAAGTAATCACCTATGCGTAATGAAAAGAAAAATATTCTATATATTTTCACTAAATGATAGAAACTGTGTAAATCTTGTACTAGCCTTAGACTGTAGAAATGATTTTTAATATTAAGGTAATAAAGTGAAATGTGGAGTATCTTATATGGTTTTCTAAACGAAGTACACATACAAAAAAAAAGAGGTTTTCAATACAGTAAGTACTTCTCATGCGTTGGGTTTCGCCTGTCTGACTATACTGTGCCTGGTTATTTTTCTTCGTTAAAGTCTTGGTGGTGTTTGTGCCTATACAGTACAGTAACTATTATAGTCCTCAATACTGTATTTTTACGTTAATTATTCATGGAAAGCACGTGTTATATAAAAAAGATAATTTTTCATTTATCATCAGGACGCCATCACAACCAACAGAAAGAATAAAATATTTGCCGAGTCTTTGTGGTTCAGTGAGCATCTGGGAACAAATTATGATTACAAAATAATTACCGCATGGCGCTTGATTGCTGCTGAAATTGTTATGAGTGTTTCTAGCGCTTGTGCAACGTTTTACCCCATGTGTTCAGTTACCCTTATATCCATTTTATATTTCTGTCTACACTTTGAACCTTATTGTATCAAGGCCTGTGGTCCACACTCCGTGCAGCATAGATAAACGACGCAGCATTTGTAGCCAAGCTAGCATAGCCTCAACACCGATAACACTTGTGCTGTAATTATTATATCACGACTATGTTATTAATTACAAAACAAATCAGTAATAAAATGGTAAATACAATTTCTTCGCTTCAAATGTTTGCTTATCAACTTCATCCAGTGATAATAACCACTTCTGACATCCCCACCTTACCTTCTTATGTCTAGTCTACTCTCAACTTGACACAGTACGGTACACTGTATCTATATCCCAAGAGGAGACAAATGGTCTTGATACTTGTCCCTGCACGTCCTACTCCCTGTTTATTATTTTTTGGTCAACAATAAACTTTTTCACAGCATAATAAAAAATACAGTACTGGCATTCACAATAAGATACACTGTACACTGACAGTAAAATAATATATATATATATATATATATATATATATATATATATATATATATATATATATATATATATATATATATATATATATATATATATATATATATATATATATATATATATATATATATATATATATATATAGCATATATATATATATATAATGAAAAACTAACTTGGACCCACATCAGACATCCACGCTTTGCTGTGTCTGGTATAGGACCAGACGCCATGTTTGGGGGCCATGCCATTCAATTAAGAGTTGGGGGGCCCATTCCATCCCACTAGTACTGATAGTTGGGACCCATTCCACCCCACTAGTACTGAGTTGGGGCCCATTCCACCCCACTAGTACTGATAGTTGGCCCATTCCACCCACTATACTGATAGTTGAGGCCATTCACCAATTCAGCACTGACAGTTGGGCCCATTCCACCCCACTAGTACTGATAGTTGGGGCCCATTCCACCCACTAGTACTGATAGTTGGGGCCCATTCCACCCCACTAGCACTGACAGTTGGGGCCCATTCCACCCCACTAGTACTGATATTGGGTATTCCACCCACTAGTACTGATGTTGGGGCCCATTCCACCCACTAGTACTGATAGTTGGGGCCCATTCCACCCCACTGGCACTGCATTAGGCCCATTCCACCCTACTAGCACTGGCAGTTGGGGCCCATTCCACCCCACTAGCACTGACAGTTGGGGCCCTTCCACCCCACTCACAGCACTGGCAGTTGGGGCCCATTCCACCCCACTAGCACTGGCAGTTGGGCCCATTCCACCCCACTCAGCACTTTGACAGTTAGCCCATTCCACCCCACTAGCACTTGGACAGTGGGGGCCCATTCCACCCCACTCACTGCACCCATTCCACCCCACTAGCACACTTGACAGTTGGGGCCATTCCACCCCACTAGCACTTCTGACAGTTGGGGCCCATTCCACCCCACTAGCACTGACAGTGGCCCATTCCATCCCACTAGCACTTGACAGTTGGGGCCCATTCCACCCCACTAGCACTTGACAGTTGGGGCCATTCCACCCCACTATGCATTTGTCACCAGGTTTATATTTTTTTTTGAAGAAACATTCATCTGATTATTTCCTGATATGTCAACTGTGCCATCCATGATGATACCATTAGTTAATAGAGAAAAGAGACTGGTAATAACGTCCCCGTCCCATCCCATTGTGCACGTGTGATTAAAAAACCATGCAATATATAACTCAGCATTGACAACCCAGCCTCAAAATTACCTAAATCCTACAGATCTCAACATACAGGTTCAGTTTTATCATGTGATGGATCATAATACACTACAGGTACAACTTCAGAAAATATACTCTCTACTCACACACTATAAGCAGTACATGCCAGATTACCGGCTCCTTTTCCCCAGTTACTGCAGCGCCTCATTGGTTGGTGTCCCCTGTGGTTTGGATGACATAATAGGGGTAATGAAATAACTTTATACAGTAATTGCAAAAAAACAAGATAAATTAGTTATCAAAATGGAGGTTCATATAGTGGTGAGTAGGAGGATAGAGCTATCAATTGAGTCACTGAATGGTTGATTTCTGTTGATTTGGTTATGTTCACAATGCACGCAAAAAATTTTTCCTTTGAATCGTAATACAGTACGTACTTAAATTTATAACTTTTATATTTTTCCAAACTTCATTATAAAGGAGCTTCATTGCCAGAGGATTCATTAACAGAGATAATCATGTTCAGTTAGACCATTAATTTCTTACAACACTAGGCCTGGGTGAAGATAAATAGAGCTCTCAAGATGGAAGAAGGAAAATGGTGAATGTCACTACTGTACCTGTATGGGAAATACAAAAATCGCAAAGTGCCTAGTATGGGCACACGTCATATTTGCTTATTTACTGTACTGTACAACACAAATGCAGATAGTCTGTCTTTAAGTTCTGAGGCATAACTAATATTTTTTCTCCAGCATCTCATAGAGTCTAATCATCAATTTGCATGTCATCTGGTTAAAGTTACAGCAATTTAAAATCTATTAAAATAAAACTGACCCAGCATCCTACAAATACCAGAGAAATACCTCAATAGAAGTGCTATCAACATTTCTGAGGTTGAAAATATGATCAACATGTATTTGGAAAATCTTTTTCCACAAATTTGCAAAAGACAAGGATGTGTTTCATAACTAAGTTTGGGTGAAATCTATTATAATCCATTAGAATGTATAAAAAAGTCATTTATGCCAAGCAGTGTACTGAATGACAATATGGCCCAGCATATAATATAATGAGTAAGTGTATGGCAGTGTAATCAGTACTGACACATAAATTATTGCACTAAGAGTGTCCTTCTTCTTGACAGTGTGGGCCCTGCCAGATTTGGTGTCCGGGGGTATGAGCTGAATGTAGGCGGGTACAATGAGTCGAGCACAGGGGGCGACGCGATGGAGTACCACAATGGCATGGACTTCAGCACCTACGACATGGATAATGACGGCGCCTCAGGTGGGTAATCATCAGTGAGTGAGTATTTTCAAGATGTACACATTCCTGTACATATCTTCCCTTTATAGGATAAGAGATTGTGCCTCTTATGGTAAAATATTGATGACCCAAATTTTGTCTCGACCTCAACCGAGTCATTAAGCTACCTTCTTGCATCACCAGTTCAATGGAAAATATAACACACAAACCATTGGGAATCTTTATCTGTACTGTACTGTCATATTGCAAAATTGGTGAATGCTTAGCCGAGTTTTATGCGACAAAACACATCATTAAAGGTCACTACTATTCAGTTTACGTCATGTTAACATTGTTTTTATGAAATTTTTGGAAATTGCAACATTTAGGAGTCAAATTATTATCATCCGATGCCAGCTGAATGGTTCACTGTCTAATTTTACTTGGTTATTTATCATCTCACGAGTACATGCATAAACCTGTATATCCCCTTTTCATACTAATTTATATTCTTTAAAATATAGTTATTCTTTCTGTGAAAATTTAAATCAAACTTTTTTACATACTTTTATAACTCTGGAGTACTTACGACCATGTTCTTAAACAACACCGAAGATTGGATTAAAAGAACAGGATTTTTTAAACGTTTAATTTGATATCAATGTTAATGTCTGTCAACTTTGGTTATAGGTGGAAGCTGCTCAGAGTGGTCTGGAGGTGGTGGGTGGTGGTACAACTTTTGTTTCTATAGCAACCCCACTGGCCTGTACCCTCCCTCAGACATGCCAGAAAATACTCAAGTAGACCATCTGCTGGAGTGGCGCAAGTGGCAGGGATACTACACCTACCTCTCCACCCTCATTATGATGATCAGGCCCAACTGATTTGCTTCCCATACCTCCCATCTCATGCGTCACAGGTTCAAACCAACAGCACTTAGTGGTATATTATATAGTTTAAGGCTACATCAGTTGCAAGAATTTAGTGTAGAGGTGATCTGTGCAAGATTTTGGAGTTTGCTATCATTGTTACGAGTTAAAGGAACACTGGGCATATAAATTTTACCTTCTACAATTAGTTATGGGACTTTTATGCATCAGTGACATACATGATGAAATTATTCCAGTGAAAATATAGCATTTTCAGTTTAATATCTTGAGTGTCTGTACTTCATGTAATTTCTAAGAAATTATATAATTATCACTGGACCAGTTTTCTATATTGATTAAATATATTTTGTGCCCTTAAATGGTGTTCTATACAGTTCTTATATTAAAATTTTCTCTTGCTCTGATATACTGTACCATTGTTTCATTATCCTTCTAAGCTCAAGGTTTATGAACCATGAGCAAAAGCTCGTTTACTGGTGGTACAGGTGCGATAATGTGTTCGTACACCCCGTGGTAACCCGTGTCTACAAATGGCAACGTCGCAGTACTGTAGTAGTAGCATCACTATTTATGAATGAATCGGTATTGGTTGACGGATGTGATTGGTGGATAGGTTTCCTATAGGTCATATAGGTTGGCCGTTTGGTAACTCAGGTTACCACAAGGGGGAAAGGAACACATTTCCACAACTGTACAATGCCATCATGGAAAGTGGTTGAGGTCAGGAGCCAAAGGCAAATTACAGTACAATTTGGGAATTACAGTACTTTACTGAACACTATTCAAGTCCCGTTCTTCTCCCCTTATACAGTGGTCCCTCGGTTAACGAACACAATCTGTTCCAGCAGGTTGTTCGTTAACCGACACCATTGTTTCAATGGGTTTTTGGGTAATTGGTTCCAGCTCACCGAAAATTGCCTAAATTCAACAAAAATGGTAGAAAAGTTCACTTACTTTGAGGTGTGTATGTAGAAGGCTCCTGGATGATGCTGATGATGTGCATTTGAAGTGGGAGGTGGAGGAGAAGGAAGAAGAGAAGGCATTGGGGTGGAAGAGAAGTCACCCCATGGCACCATTTCACCCATAAAATTTTAGTTCTCTTGGTGTATTTCAAGATTATTTTCTTTAAATCAACACTGCACTGCATTATATATTGTCAATATGTAAAATATATTTCAAAATGACCAATAATTTGCTTGGAAACAGAAAAAAGCATTTAGTTGAAGAAAGTCTCAAGCAAGATGTTACCTCCACTGAAAACAGAGAGAGGCTAACGCCTGTCTGGTGTGTTAACAGGCTGGATGGCATGCCAGAAACTAGTTTCTTTACCTTCAATTATGTTCAATAATTGTTAAAATGACTAAAAAAGTAAGGAATTTAAGCCCTAGAACCGATTAATGTATTGGCGGACTAATACTAAAGCTGGTTGACCGGCCAGTGCAAGCGAAAACATGTTGAGGTCGGTTCGTAAGAAATTCGTTAACCGAATTTAAGAATCTTATGGGAGGCAGTTCGTTAACCGAAATTTCGTGAACCGAGGCATTCATTAACTGAGGGACCACTGTATATATAATTCTTATTACAACTTTTTTTCCTCTTTCAGTTAAACTTACTGTGACTGTCTTTCCCATTTTCCTTCCTCCTTTCCTATCTTCCTGAGTAAATTTTCTTTTGTATACTGTATATCTCCTCATTCCTTCTTCCTCGTTTATTTTCTCTTTTAATCATTTATCTTCTGATTGTTTTCCTTTTCTAGTCTCTCTCATTTTCTACACTTAACTAAAAAAATGTCCCTGGTGTAACTTGATGACAAAATTCTGACAATTGCACACACAAAAGCTATTTTTTTCTCTAATATATCTTCTGGAAAGTCTCCAGGTTTATTATCGGGTTTACAAACAATATCTGCTCTTACCACAATGGAAGGAAACATCAGTGAAGCAGAAAAGAAAAATTATTTCTGTGAATAATAGTAGTATTGTACCTGGTAATTACTAGTAAATACAGTATTGACACTTATCAATATAAAACATAAGTGTGTTACACATTTGGGTACTTACGGTAATGAATGAGTACTTCATGTTACAGAGGGAGACCAAGCTTGTTTACATTGGCCATCAATCACAGGATGATTACAATTACAGTATTCCATCTTGCCAGGTTTTGTCTGATCTCATCACACATATTTTATACTTAATGTTCAGGTTTTTGATGGAAATGATCATAGGTTATAACATTTTGTTATGTTTTCCTTTATATTTGCACATACAGTATTTACATTTAGTTTTGCAAAACTGTAGATGAAAAAGGAAAAAAGGAGGGGAGGGGAGTGGGGAACCTTTAGCCAATGATTGAGGGTTACACAGCTATAGCTTCATATTATGATATGCAGTAAAATGCTGATATAGTAACTAAGTTTTGTTTTATGTTACAACCACAATTCACTGTGAAATAAGCAAATGCTCCTGTGAGACACTGTCTGCTGATATTGTTACCTCAACAATCAATACTAAAAATTATTTGTCTGGAATGTACTGATAAACACAACTTTTCTGTACAGGGTAATTACTGTACAGTATTTGAGTTGTGATAGGTACCATTTAGAGTACAGTAAGTCCGCGCTTAACGTTGTTTCAGTACTACGTCGCTAAACTTTAGAGACCAAAAATTCGCTTAACGTCCTGGTGATCAGATACTGTACTACGTTGTTTAAATCGTCACGGACTACTTTCTACGGTGCACCACCCTCTCTCATCTGGCCAAGCTATACCCTCCCACCCTCCTCCTCCGCTCCCGCCATACTCCTTCCCGCCTGCCATCCGCCTCCTCCGACCCACTACCCACTCGCTCTACCACCGCCCATCGGTGAGTACCAATACAAACTTAGTAGTTGTATATGTATGCACTATTTTCTATAGAAATGGCAATGATTTTCTGTATATGTAATGTATTTCATGGGGCAAAGGGAGGCTCAGGAACGTAACTCCCATATTTTATCTATTTCTTATGGGGAAAGTTGATCCGCTTAACGTTGTTTCATATAACGTCGCGTTTTTAGGGATGTAACCCCAACATTAAGCGAGGACTTACTGTACTGTGCTGGTACATAGCCTTTTTAATAGACTTGACTTGTCTATACAGTCAACCATCTGTCACAGTTTTCAATCTTATACTTTTGGTGTTTAAGACACATGGTGATTATAAGGGCATTGTGCCTTATATAACAGCAATATGGTTTGAAAATTACAGGTGTAGGCATATCTTTATTGTACAGTAGTAGAAATCTTAGTAAAATTTATATTTTGTGAGATAGTTCAAAACCTAATCTCTTAAAATTATAGTTCCAATGGGGAATCAGTTTTGGGTTCTAAGCAACCATCTTATGAAATAGCCCTACAGTACTTGACCTGTTCATTAACTGTGGTTTCTGTATGAAGAGATTACATTTCTACCACTTATCAGTTTACAGTACCAGTCATTCGAGCAATTGGTTTATTCTTTGTCACAACCTTCATTGTCCAGTGCTATTATTGTATAGAAAAAACCGAAGTACCCAGAGAAAACCCGAGTTGATTGGTAGGATGCAGCCGTGAGAGGCACACACAATACCACTGTACCACCAAAACTCCAACACCAAAGTAAATATCCAATACAGTACTTAATCTTTAAAAGATGAAAGGTATGATTTAAATTCTACTATCTTCTGTAACATACACAAGACTTGATAATAATTCTGGATATTTTCATATAAAAAATGCTAGTTAATTTAAACAGTTGACCAAAAACACGAAGATTTTAGCCTATTAGAACAGGTTGATACTTTAATTTTGTTATGTATATACTATACTGTACTGTATATGTGATTTATGACTACCGAGTTGGGTTGCTGTAAGCACTATCAACACACGGTTGTTGTTAGTGGAACATTCTGTTATGTCTGTCAACACATACATATGTTCTACCAGAACGTCTTCAGGACGATCTTAATACTGCACTACAAGATAGTATGTCAGATCTACAGAACTCTACTACTCATAACAGTTACGTCCACACACCCAACGATGGTGAGCAGCAGTGGTGCTTCCCTCATCTCCAGTAAAATCCCAAATGAAGTGGACCAAGTGGACATGCATTCCAACACATTGGCACTTTCAGCTTGCTCTGGTCCACCTCTACGTCATGACTTTTCAACAGCATTCCCTGGTAAATGAGGTGCTTCATCAGAAAAAATATGTTATCCATGTTATGCCACTCTAAGTGAATGGTTTAGTTGTAGCACAAAAAAAAAAAGATATCAATCAGAAATCTTGAAGACAATACTACATGTACTTGTTTACAATTGAACAAGAGGCTTCTTCAACAATCCCAGTTTGGTATTCATTCATGTTGAGGATACAACATACTGCACATATATCTTGAGGGAAATACGAACTATTACCATTATAAAATTGACCAACAATAAAAGGACTTTTTGTTTGAACATTTTAGTAGCATTCATTCACATAACAAAGTGAATAGTCAGAACTAGATACAGTGTACTAAACAATCACATTTAATAAAATCAACAGGAAGTGCAATATTTAGTCATTTTTGCAAGAAAAAAATACTTTATTATCATTGTCCGATGTAGCGATAAAATATTAGCTCGAGCCATAATTAACTGCATGGATATGCAATCAACTTTGTGCATTGCTGTCAGCCCTACAAGTATCAAATAAACCAATCTATATTGTGCAACATTAGTTGTACCACTATCACCATCCACCTCCAGTCAGCTTCCTTACAATTATACAAAACCCATTTAATAGGCCTAAATAAATCTATATTCTCTAACCCATTCAGTGGTAAGTCCTTCATGTTTTAGCATTTTTATCAAATGGAGAGCTCGTACTGTATACACAAAAAATATATTTCCAGCCCTCCCCTATCTTGCCACAGGTTACAACAGTGATGGGCAACCTAGGCCAGTGAGGTAGCCACATGAGTGGCCGGCCCTCCATCATCTCGTTAGGTTGCATAAGTAGCCCTATTTCATCTCAGTGGGCCACATGAGTGGCCCTCCATCATCTCAGTAGGTTGCACAAGTAGCCCCATTTCATCTTAGTGGGCCACATGAATGGTCCTACTTCATCTCAGTGGGACACAAGATTGAAATTTGGCATGTGCACTAAGTATAACCCTGAGAATAGCCATAAATACATTTAACACAGGCCGAATGGTTTATAATGAGTTATAGAAAATGTTTATCTATCAATAAAGTGCCATCATAAATCAAATTAATAAAAGCAAAAGAAACAAGTACAGTAATGGTACAGGTACAGTCTCGTTCAAGATTCTTCGAACACTGCTGGAGACAGCTAGCAACTCAAGGCCATTTGTTTACTATAATATGTAATAAAAATTATGAATACAGTACAGTACATGTAAAAGTGATCGGTGATTGGTTACTTAGTTCCCCGTTGCTTAATTTAATGGTTGGGCTTTGTTGCTTCGTATATTATATTATATTACATACTATAGTAAACAAATGGCCTTGAGTTGCCAGCTGTCTCCAGCAGTGTTCGAAGAATCTTGAACGAGACTGTACATTCAATACTCCATATTATGCGATACCTGAAAACAAAATTGGGGAGGTGAGGACAATGCACAATTTATATTTACGATTACCTTACAATAATGTACAAAATACTCCTACAACCACTGGCAGTAGAACACTGAATTCATTATGAAGTGCTGTCATATAAAAAAATAAATATGCTTACTTTATGATCAAATCAGCACCGCTTCTTGTACGATTCTTCATATGTGTGGATGATGGTCAAACAATATGTCTTGTGAGCCACACTCAGAAGCCTGACAGGCCACAAGTTGCTCACCATTAGTTTACAAACTTTGCTATGATGTCAGATAGCCTGTGGTCATGGTGAGTACGTACAGTTATCCCTCGTTTAACGATGGGGTTGCGTTCCTGCCAAACCTAACTTAAAGTGAAATTATCGCTAAATGAAGGATAACAGAAAGGCACGGAGGGCAAACAACAGGTTTAAATGGCAGGGCAGTAAATGAGTTTTATGAATGGTTAGTAATTAACAACAAACTTCTATATAAATAATGTGGTTCAGAGTTGAAAAATTTAGTGAGCAAAAGATGAGTCTTATTAAAAAAAAAATCCAATTGAATTCATCAAAAATTAACAAATATTACTATGACAAATAATAAAATTCATACACAACTTATCATATCATAAAATACAATAGCACATATTTTAATAAAAAAAAATTCCTTCCACACTCAAACTTTCCTCTGGGCGATGCAACACTATTCAACCCATGATGTCACATTGAAGGCAGGAGTCAGAGAGCATGGCTGGGCTCCCGACACAGTTACAGTTTTCTTATTTCAAAGTTTTATATTATATTTTTGTTATTGCAAAGCCAGTTTAGAGTACTGTAATGATTTTTCCACAACTTTTATAGTTTCCTTACATGTAACAATGGCAACATGCCATCTCGCAGGCCATCTCATCCTTAGTTTTTTCCCTTTCCAGTGAGTCAAGTTATCGCTAAACCAAATTCTGACCTAACGTTAAATGAGAAAGGGTGTCAAAAGTTTTTTAGTGTTAAACCGAATTCATGTTAAGTGAAAGAATGCTCGACCAGGGATACCCGTAGCTACTCTGTTTACACTTTTTTGTGGATTCTTTACCTGTAAATATCTAAGCTTACCAAACAGAACCCCCCCCCCCCCTTCCCTTCAAAAAAGTTTGGGCAGTAGAGGCTTGATCAGCTGCCAGGGTCAGACAGAAATCCTTGTTACCGGTGAATGGGTTAAAACTTGAGCAAAGTTTAATATCAAAATTGTAAATAATTTTTGTGATATGAGCAGTAACAGAAAACTGAGGAGACAAACAAATAGAAATCTTATGGTCTCCCTCTGGTTTTTTAATGAAAAGGGACTAATAATAGACTGACTGACTGAATCTTGCTGAAGGGGTAATAATGTAATGAAATGCCTCTAAAATGAAGAAAATAAATAAATCACCATATCCTACTAAAACCTTATCTACCTTGCATGTGACCATACTGCAGTAACATACAGTACTACAATACAATGTTTGTGATGCCTTGATGATGTACTAGGAGGGGGGATTTGAAGTATGTAGAAGAGATTTTCTATAATACGAGCAAATATTGACAATAATCACAAGAATTTTGTTAATATGAAGAGTGAGGTGATGGTATATCTACTTATGTTCCAAGTGTTCATGATTATTAAATTGCAATTATGCACAATCCTAAATACTGTATTGCTTTAAAGAAATAATTATGTTAGTCTATTTACAGAGGATTTCTAACAGCTGATGAGTCCAAAATCCATCATAATATTAACAAATCAAAAGCAAATTGGTTTTACATCATATGTAGAGGTCAAAACACCAAACAATGATTATTAAGATGGGCTGCAATAATTAAAAAACAGATATAAAGCATCAAACTCAGTAGAATTCAACATTAGGGTGACAGTCATGGTTAGTTAATACTGTACTGGGTAATAAATTATTAACAAAATATTAAATCTAGCACATAAATTTGTCTAAAGTGCAAATTGTGTCTTTCTAAAAATATCTTAACCCCTTCACTAAAGGACCCCACTTTCAATATTTTATTTGGCTTATGCCAGACAAGTTTATTCGGCATGGAGAGATGCCTCATACTCAAGGGGTTGAGAGTGTCCTTGTCAAAGAATCTCTTAATCTCCTAATCTTGATACAATGATCATCACAATATTAAGCGTGATTATAATTACAATAAGGAAAGGAATTAAATAATAAATATCTGGAAAATGAGGCACTGAAAAACTGAATGTGTAAGCTGAAAATGTGTTGAGAAGCAAGGGCTTTTGGGTGATGTGTAAACTGAGTTGAGTACTGTTGCCTTGAGGTTGTTCTACAGTGAATTGCTAACTTATGCTCTCCAGAGAAGTGCGAACTTCAAGAATATGCTGAAGAGTATGAGGCAAGAGACCCCACTGTTCACGGAGATTCGCTTCATGCTTACACACAGCCTCTATGGCCAATCTGAAACAATATGGGACTTTCATCAGTCTATTTCTCTCTTTACTACATCTTTCTCATCTTAAAAGTATGCAAACTTGTACTACCTATGTTTTGTATGACTACTCACAGTATTTTTTGAAAACTCAACATCTCAATATTTAAAGAATCCTAACTGTAACTTAAGCTACCAAGATAAAAAAGGGTAGATGCCTCCTGTCGGCTCTATACAAAATACAGTCCAGCAAGTGGTACAAAATATGTGGAATTGATTTCACTTGTCTGAAAATTGGGCTTATTAAGTAAAGCAAAAATTAATGCAGAAATTAGGCAAGTTCCAAACTGCCAACCTGAGTTTCCAATGTTTACTCTTGATGGGTAAATGTGAAATGCCTGCCCTAAAGTAAAAGAAGAAGAATGAGCTTGGAAAGAATGGTCATTTGCAATAAAACACTCCAGATGAAACCAAATCTTTCAGTGTTTACATGTACCTTTCTGTTTTCTGACCCTTCAAGCTTTCTTTCTTCTATTGAGTCGCATATATTTGCTTGTTAAAGCAGTCTTCATTCTTTTGATAATTCAGGAGGCAGGACTGTTTCAGCATATGAAGCAGTAAATGTGTGTGAGGAAAGTTGTGCATATGGCCACCCCACCCCCATTAGATGGAAGAGGGTGTCAGAAATATAAGGAGGTAAACTCACCGTTGTAAGGAAGGTGGACTGAATCTCAGCACTAATAATCCCTCAGCATGATCCTGAAAAAGTTAATAAACTTGAATTCTATGAGTATTTTCTGTGTCACATATGACTACAAAGCAAAAGCATTAGCATAGTTCCTTCTACTAACCCTGACTGGATTTTGAAACTTTACGACAAACACTTACACACACACACGACCGAATATGCACAGTTATTTCTTAGTAACATTTCCTTCACCTACATCTGTACAGTATATCACACTTCCCTTCTGTACTTCTATAATACGGATTATGATCACCACCAAGCTCTTCTGACAAGAGCCTATGTACAGTACATGCATAATGTTTTGCTACAAGCTAAGGATTTAGCAACCTTCTCACCAATTCAAATTTGCTTTGACATGAATTTGGTAATTGTCTTAAAGGTCAGTAGTCTTTGACTACCGAGTTTCACTTTTTCAACACCCAACTTAACCAACCATCATGCCTAACACTCAGTTTCTGCTGCAAGCAGACTGAGAAGTGGATTATGTTGTGTCACTATTACAGTTCAGCCAATCTTTATATGTACAATATTCACTGTAAACCACAGCTTGTTTATGTCACCAGTTTTAGTTATACTTGATGTACATATAAACACAAATTTAAATTTGGCTGTTAGTTGACATGGTTTATACTGTTACCAACCACAGTTGAAATTTCAAATTCCATATAATTCTAGTGTCACTGTTGACAGCAAAGGTAACTGGGAGTTTGCTTATATGTATTTCCTAGTGGTCATGTCTCCTCTAACATTGCAATAATGTGGAAACTAGGACAGAACATAGACTCTGCCTGACGGAAGCACAGTTGTAATGATCTGATAAATTGTTGAGTGTGCATAACTTTAGTTTGCAAGGGATCACTTTCCTATTTCTCATGTACCCGGTAGTTCTTTCATTATAAAGTAGCCAGCTATTAAATTAGTTCCCTATAAATGAGCTTTAAACAGACCTCTTTGGGAAGCCTTCAAGATATTTTTGGGGGCATATGTTTCAAGGATCTTTTGAGATCCTTCTTTCTTTGAAGACATTTGAAATGCTTTTATCCATCCAAGTGATTAAGAACTGTTCTCTCCTTTGCACATTTCTCTGTTTCACTGTCTGCTATGCACAGTAGTGCATTATACAGGGGTCCCCAGGTTACGAACGGGGTCCGTTCCTGAGGAAGTTCGTAAGTCGGATTTGTACATAGAACACATGCTATGTGCATACCGTACATACAAAACATTGTTTAAAATCCCACTATATCACAGCCTAAGTCCTTATATACATCTAAAATCACTTAATTTTAGACAAAAGAAAAAGAATGACAAAATACAGAAAATGAAAGTAAAAAAATAAGTCATCAGGTAAATAAAATACAGTAAATTGCAAGTTTAACTGTATTCGTATTGGTGGGTGTTCGTAAGTTGGGACCTCCTGTATACTTTGCTCAAGTCTAAGTCTAATAAAAGTTAGTGCATGCATAAAACAAACACAGGCTTCTCAACTCCCCAATATTCAGATAAAGAAAATTAAGGTCAGAGGAAGAGGAAATGAAATTTGGGCAAGTTACAGTTGAGTGATATCAGGTCAGAGTAGTTAGTGCAATGCGGCATCTGTAGTGATATTAACTCAGATATTTCAAAATATACTAAACATGCTTAACCCTTAGGCCCCGGGTGACGTTCCAGAACGTCTGACTAGCGCGCCCCAGGAGACGTTCCAAAACGTCCGACTAGCGCACCCCGGGTGACGTTCCAGAACGTCCGCCTAGCGCGCCCTGGGTGATGTTCCAAAATGTCCGACTAGCGCACCCCGGGTGACGTTCCAGAACGTCCGCCTAGCACGCCCTGGGTGACGTTCCAGAACGTCCGCCTATTTTCCCGCCATTTTTTTCATTTAAATTTTTTTTTAATTATTTTTGGAAAATTTGATTTTTTTTCACAATTTAACCCTGCAGGGGGGGTACTGCCAGCAGCACTCTAACCCGGGGCTTAAGGGTTAACTTGAATCTACTCATAGGTCACGCTGTTAGGGCACACTATCATCTGTTTCCTACTGTCCTTCATTATACTAAAAAAATCTTCTAGTCTCTAAAGCTACAAGGCTGTAAGATATATGAAGTCAAAATCTATGAAGTTGACAGAACTCAACAGCAAAGCCTTTGTCAAGTCTATATCGGGCCAATGTCCATAACCCCCAACTAGCCGTTTTATCAAGCCTGTGTAATTAATATAAACATATAAAGTTAATTTATACACCATCTCCTGCTGAGGTGGTGTGCTGTCAAGTTTGAGGGCAATTGGGGCATTTGCTGCCACGTGACCTTCTTTTCCTTTGTAATGGTAACTGTAAGTCCTCATAGAGAACCTCTTCTCTAAAACAGTCTTAAATCAACATGGAACCGAATGTTAGGACAGAATGTTCCAGCTAATCGAGCTGGGTTTTGAAATGTCCTCAAGAATCATAAATGTAAAAATTCTGCAAATTTGATTAACAAAAAATCAACACCAAACTAACTTCTTCCTCTCTCTTTCTCTCTAGGTAAAATCTGAAAAAAAAATAATTGCTGTACAGTATTTGGATCCAGGAGGGGGAGGAAAAATACTCTGTCTACCCGATCCATACAAATTTCACTCCTAAACTTAGCTGTATCTATAGGTCCTTCCACACATACAGTGTGAGGAGGGTGGAGGGCTGGAGAGCTGTCTCAAAATGCTACCTCCAAGAGCACTTGGCTGCATACTGAATGTTTCTGCAGCAACCCAATACATGAATAATAACAGAGAGAGATGATTATACGACTAAATAACAGGAAGTTTTTTTTTGCAGAGTATACATAATGAACACAACATCTGTTCAGGATGAAGGGTAGCCATGAATGAACAGGATGTTTCTGTGATATCACGTACTCTCTCAACATTCCTCTCTATTGTCCATGAGAAATAGTGTTTTCTTCCAAATATCCTTTTTTTAGTACTATAGCTGCAATGGGGGAGCTTTACTAATCATTTAGATTAGTCCAAGCCAAAAAAGGTATATGTCTCCTGGGTCCTTTGTCAAATTGCTTCTTAAACTAATATTAATGCCATTCACCCTTTGGTCAGTATAACAAAATTTCATTCACCCCTGACTTAGCTTCCTTATAATTTAGAAATTTCCTATTTTCCTTTTCTTGTACATACTGTGCAGAATTCAAGCTTTGCTTTATCCAGTAATCTAAGGCTGACCATATAAGCATTGCATCCTTAGAATAGATAGATATATTGGCTATTATATGGAAAAGCTGGGATGGGATGGGATGGGATGGGATGGGTTGGGCTGGTTTGGTTTGGGTTGGTTTGGTTTGGGTTGAGTTGGGCTAGGTTGAGTTGGGTTTGGTTGAGTTAGGTCTTAACCCCACATTTTCCCTCTGCATCGAAGCCCTGCCCACCTTCAGGAGGGAATAAAAATTGTTGGGGGTAGGAAGGGTCAATTTGGATAAAACTCAAAAACTGTACATTTCCCCAAATTTTAACTATTACCACTGTGGTTTTTCTCCATAATTACTGATATATTTACCAACAAAGTGCAAATTTTCACAGAAATTTCACTGTAACATTGCAGAACCCCATGAACATTCTATGGCCTTCCTGTCAAAGTGCATTATTCTCTACAACTATTAACCTCACTGAGATATTATCCTTCCTAGTTATTAAACCTTAGGATGAAGAACTACTGTATGCATCATTTATGCCATATCTTCAAAGTTTAAAAGCAGAATGCAAGCACTTACCAACAGGAGGCAATTGGCAAGTTGGAACATCTGATCAATTGTGTAAACAAATCAATTTTCTCTTACAGTATAAAGCAAGCCCATTTTCTGTCATATTATAAGCATAAACTTTCTTGTTTATAATTTTGTGACCCCTCTAGTTTTATTCACCCTAGTGCAGGGCAGTTTCCACAGACGAGATCAGATATTCTTTTTAGTCGCTTGATGATAAGACATGTTTACCATACAACACTATATGGATGGAGGTAAAATATCAACTCTTCATACCTCTCAGGTGGCAGCTTTCTTCCCTAAATTAAATAAGCTTGAGTTGTAGTCCATACTGACAATAAATATTTAGTACAGTGTACTATAGCATTTTAAAGGGTTAGAGAAGCAAGTTGGTGACACACACACACATACAAATGATCTTTGGCTTATATCAAGAGTGAGAATATTTACAATTAGCATCACCATAGTGATGAAGTATGGCTGAGTGAGTCCAGAAAGAATGTAGAGTTCCCCAAGAGGTATAACTGCTGCAGCATGCCAGCATCTGGGTTCACCATGGTCATAAGCTAGGGGTACCTCTTGCCAATCTACACTATTAAGTGCTTCAAGAGGTCCATCAACATCTACCTCCAGCAACCAGCAATCATCTGTGTAGCCATAGGTAATGCCTAATGTTAAACCGAGTTGTAAAAAGTATCGGACTTTGCTACAAGTAAAAGTATCCAAAATTCAATGTACTCAAGTAGAAGTAAAAAAGTATCTTATTCATAAAGTACTCAAGTACTGAAAGTAAAAAGTAACAATAAAAATGTTAATTGTGCCAATCCACAGTAAATAATAAAAAACTAGTTAAATAAAGATAAAAATTTAAGAAACATAACATTACATATGTTTGTTTGCAAATCTTTCTAATGAGATTAATCAATAAATAATTCTCAAAATTTGGCTGCCCAATTCGGATCTTTCAGTCCTAAATATAAGACCAATATGACCTATCCTTCAACACTATTGCCCTGACTGTCCCACTGTCAGGGATCTCCTACCACAGGACAATTCACCTTGGTGTTCTTTTTTTTTTTACGGGATTAGCCCACCTGGACACAGGTTAATGACCCACATCAGGGTCTGAGGGCGAAAATATTATTATTATAATAATAATAATAATAATAATAATAATAATAATAATAATAATAATAATAATAATAATAATAATAATAATAATAATAATAATAATAATAATAATAATAATAATAATAATAATAATACAG